ATTCTGGGCCACCCGTTAGACTTTCTAAGATTGAAAACTTTCTTCATTTCAACATTATATTTTTGTGAAAACTTTCGTGCTTTTTCTTTCCTATGAACCGAAATGGATGGTAACGATATTAAAAAACTGCCGTAATCCACGGTTTCTACAGACAATAATTATGTTCCTATTATTTATTACATTTTATTTCTTATAATATAATGGACTAACTTTAATGAATTTTGCCTACAAGTTCCACGCACAGAGGAATTCTCTAAGTTTCACTTTCCGAATGAACGGCTACACGTTTAAACTTGGAATTTATGGCACAAGTGGCGGCTTCGCAACTAACGCAAAGGAAATCTGAGAATCATCTTTGGACTGACTTGGAGCAGAGATATTGCAATTAATTTAGACGTTCGAAACCATATCGAGTCAAAACAGATTTGGTTGGAGTTTTTTTTGCAGACGAGTTGAAGAAAAATCTTTTTTGCAGGTTACTTATAAGCATGAGGACATGACTAATTCGAAAGTATCTCTGCTCAGGTCTTTCCTTCCCATTACCGAGATAAGAGACACTATTTCCTAAAAATTGACTCTTATTTACTGCTCCGAAGGCAAGTTTTTTTTGGTGAAATTGATTACTTAGGCAGCTGTAGCTTTATATTTAATTTCTCCGGCGGCTGTTATTTTATAAAAGCGTCTTCCATGGATGGAGAGAGTGTGAAAAGTTTGCAAATTTTGGACTTTTTTGCATTTTTAACCATGTCGGACTTCCGACTTTTTCACAATTTCTACCAATGAAAACTAAGTTCGCACCTAGCCACATGTCTCTATACTGTACTCGAGCTATGGTTATTTTATTCATAAAGGTATCATTATAAGTAGCCGGCAGAAAAAGTAGTCACTTATGATTATTTTTATAAATAATGTCTCCATGTCGGTAACGGAAAAGACCTGAGCAGAGATACTTTCGAATTAGTCATGTCCTCATGCTTATAAGTAACTTGCAAAAGAGATTTTTCTTCAACTCGTCTGCAACAAAACTCCAGCCAAATCTGTTTTGACTCCATATGCACTCAGTTTTTCACGAGTGATTATAAATCAACTAGCGAGGGAAGCTTCTTTTTGTATCGTTTACTCACATGTTGTATAAGATGAATTTCTATTACAAAGTCGAGGCAGCGGTGATTGAGAACGCAAAAAAGGCGTTATTATACTAAACGTGTTGTCAAGTTTGTTAAAGTATCAAACATGATGCCACTGCTTGTCAGAAAAATGCATGATTGTTTTGTTCTGAAAAAATTGAAAGCCATGGCAGTTGTCAAGCTACGGTTTTCATCATTTGATAAAGCAGAACTTCTCGTTATGGAACCATATCGGACTCGATGTGCTCGATACTTGTAGAAAACACTAAATATTGGAATTTGGATTTTTTTGGAGACCGAGGATTCGGAGTCACCGGAGACTCTTGGAAATTTATTGCTTATAATATCAGGCCACGTTCTTCGATTTCACCTGTCTAGAGGAGATGCAGGCTACCAGTATCTTGCCATCAATTCACTGTCCATCCCCTTTTGGTCTTTCGACTTTCTTTTGATTTTACCTTACTTTTAGATTCTTTCGTTATCTAGTCGCTTCTTGCTTCTCGTCGAAAACTCTCTCCTCTGTTGTTTGCAATTTTTATTCGTGCATATTACAGATAACATTTGTTGTTGAAGCATACAACTTCACACAGGACACTCTACATTGAGCACTGAAGAGTTTAAAAGTATATGATTTATAAATATTTATAACTCCAACCATTTATAACTATTTTAACTTTTAGTAAAAAATTTAAAATAGGTATAAATCGGGTTGAGATTTATAAATGAACGTCGGCAGATTGCAGCTTTATTATTCAGTCAATCTTTTATAACTCAATTTGGAACAAAGCTATATCCTTTTTGCAGAAAATTATATATATTTGCGCAACAGTTAAATAAGAAGAAAAGAAAGACTATATGCTTGTAACAAATAGAGGGCGAAGACTATCATCAATGTTGTAATCGTCATTATGGCCGTCATCATCGGTTGCTTCTGTTGAAGTACTTTCATCACCTTCACCACCATTGTTGTCTTCTTCTGCCAGACCAACATCAGCCAACACTTTTGTCAATTCTCGATTTATAACTCTCAACCCAATTTTTAAATCAACTCAACTTTTAACTTTTCAAAATTACTTTTGAACTCTTCAGTGACATTGAGCCTGTAAATTATGACGCTTTTCATTAAAGATATCTGTTGCTGAGAAGCAAAAAGGGAGAACTACAATTTCAACCTGTGTCATTAAAAACGAAACCTTTATTCCTCATATTTTNATATTTTATGCGTCAAGTTTTAGAATCGATCGATATGTCCTAAAATTTTTTGAATATCTTATTAATACAATATTTTGCACTAGTGTGACTTGAACTATCACACTTGAAGTATCTTATCTTCAATTTTAAATAGATCTACCCGTATGGGATCACTGTTGTTTTTGAATCGCCCAGTGTGACCTCGCCCGTTTGTTTATATATTTGATGTTGTTTATTCAGTTTCATCACGGTTGACATTGTAATAAATGAGGATGTTGCTCCCGTATCTGCCATGGCGCAAATTTTTCTGTTGTCAATTAGAGTTGGAATAAAGATCAATGATGATGGTTGGATATGGTGAGAGACAGTATCATCATGTGCTCCCATTAGAAGTTTTTTGACCAACAATCACGTGCAAAATGACCCGTCCTGTTGCATTGATAACATCTTGGGAGTAGCGGTAATCGTTGTTGTTGTGTTTGCTGATAACGATAATAATTTTTATTTATCCCTGGATATTGTTATTGTGTTTTTGGATAATAACTTGGACCATATTGGTGCGGAAACATTTGTTGATGTTGTAGATAAATTTGTGTTGATCTAACGGTGGATGTTGCTGCCGATATTTGATTGTTGTTAATATAAACATCATTTATAGCATAAGCTTGATCCAAACATTCTTCTTTTTGCGCCACTTTAATAAATTCTAGTGGATTTTTCGGTTGTTGTCTTGCACAATCTTTTCGTAATGATATTTTTAAACCTTGCATTAAATAATTTAATTTTGTTTCATTTGTTGTTCCCGAATCAATTGTTTGACATAAATCCATTATACCATTATAATAATGTATAACTGCTTCTTCGACACCTTGTTGACGGTTTCGAAGTTGCTTTGCTGCTTGTTCTTTAACTAACGGTGGCGAATGTGTTTTTTTGTACGTCATCATTAAATTTGCGGTATCCAGATATCCATATCATCAATATGGTGAGCATACTACGTTAATCCATCATCAGGTAAAAAAGTGGATATACTTTTAATTTTCTCTGTATCACTAAAACCAGCTAATTTACATGCATTTGTAACATCTTTCAAGCATTTCGTAACATTTTCATTATTTTTTCCCAGAAAATGTTGGTGTCTGCTCTAATCTTTTTGTAGTTAGTGCTGCTGTAATTTTATCTGTCATATGGAAGTCTTTTGGACGATATACCCGATGTTGTATATATTGATAATTG